GCGAACGCGAGGCAAGGGTGGCCATGTGGGCGCCAATGTCCTCCTCTGAGCTCGATGCTCCTGCCTCCTCCGGCCCCGGAGGCCTCCCGAGGCCCCCCGCGGCGCCCCGGGAGGCCTCCTGGGCACCCCGGGAGGCGGCGGCCCGCCTGGACAGGATTGGCAGCGTGGCGGTGCTCGAGGCGCGCGACACGGACACCGCGGGCGACCCGGGGGCGCCCCTCTGGCGCGACGCGGTGCTCCGCTGGGCCGCCGAGTCTGGGCTCGCCGCTCGGCTCCTGCAGGAGCCAGGGAAGCCAGGACTGCACACATCTCGGTGGTTCCCAGAGGGGGTCCGGAGGGACGGGGCGCTAAGGATGGGAAGGGATTCGGGGGTGGATGCTCACTGTTTGAGGCACCTCATCCCTCAGGACCTCATCTTTGAACCACCGATCACAGGCACACAAACTTCCGAAACGCCGCTCGGAGTTCTTGGATCGGCGCAGGGGCCCCCTGACGGCCCCTCTGGCGCTGCCCCTGGCGCGCTCCGCGCGCCAGGGAGAGGTGTCCCCGTACTGATCCACGAGACCCGCGCGGATCTTCGGATGTTTATGTGCATGCAGTGTTTTCTTATTCGAGCTCCGTATGCCCGGCAGGTTGATGATCCCACTGATTCCGCTCGTGCGGCTGTCGGTGCTACAAGACGCGTTGCTGCCGGTGCTGGCCCTGCTTATCATATTAACCGTCTCGGTGTTCAGATGGCGCAGGATGAGCCTCTGCGGCCGCGAAAGTCTCCGTTTGGCGAGCTGCTCCCTTGATGGCTTCCCGACCCCGCGCAGGGCCTTCAGAAACTGGTCGAAAGTGATGGCCTGTCCAGAAACCCGAAGTTGCCACAATCGGCACTTCCACCATCCGCCACTGCTGCTTCCCTCTCACCCTAAACGGACAAGAGGCGATGATGAGCGTCGTAGTGGCGTCTGTTTGCAGGATCAGCCAGCATCGAATCGGGGAATCGGATCGGATCGCGTCGGCATGTGCATGCAATCGGGCCGCATCGGCACGGCGTCGGAATCGACTCGGATCAACCGGCCGCGCCAGGATGCACGACATCGTCGTGCGAACAGCAGGCCGCACAGGCCCTACGGGACATCGGAGTCGGATCGAATCCAGCCGGCCAGCATCGATAGCGGATCGGACCGATCGGATCGGAATTGGCACTGGCTTTGTGGGCTTCGGGGGCGATTGGAGGGAAAGAAGACGGTGACCATGAAGACTGAACGCGGAAACGTCGGTGTCAATCTTGGTAACCGTCCATCGTGGTCACCGTCCATTCGTGAATCATCCTTGCGAGTCGGCAGCAGCCAGCATGGACCATGCCCAAGTCTGGCGTCGACAAGAGGCCGCGAAGTCTCGGTCAATGTCGTCGTGATGCGTGCTTCTTCTCCCGACCGATGGCCTGCTCCATGCCCTGATGCGATGCAGCAGGGGAGTCCGCGTCGGCGTCCTGCCTGGTGAGGCGCTGCCAGATCTCGTCCAAAGCGCTTGTCGAGAAGGCGTCCTGCAGGGCTGAGAGGGCCCGCCACCGCGCAATGTTTAGAGTGGGCACGAGGCAAGCCCAGGCCTAGGCTGAAGCAGATCGCGAAATCACATCGGATCGGAACCGGATCGGATCCTCAACGAATCGTCCCGAACCGACTCGGAATCTGATCGGCGGGCCCGGCTCCTGCTGGGCCCGGCCGACGCCGGGGACTCGGACCGCATCGAACCGAGCCGGAATCGCGGCCCAAATCCGTGAAACGAATCGCATCGAAGCAAAGTGTGGGCGGCCCTGGCAAGGGGAAGATGGCAGAGAGAGGGGCCGCGCTGGAACATACCCTTTGGAATCCTCGACATAAATCGCCGACCGATTGGCGAGAAACCCCTGGATGGCAGAACGAAGCGCTTCTGGTTCCGATTGGTCCCTCGACTTGACCTTTCCCTCTTGCGCGCCGGACAATTTGCCCATCGGTTGCCCCGATTAACCCCGCGCTGGTGCAGATTACCTCTGCCTCGCCGCCGACGAAACAAGCTCCGATTGGCGATGAATTTGCGATTGGAGGTCCGACGCCCCAACCCCCTCGGGCAAGTCCCCCATATGCCAGCGCCCCCGACCTGTGGCTCGGAAGCTGGGCGAGGGCTGCTAAAACCGTGGCTGCTAAAACGGCCCTCCAGGAAGGAAAAAACGACTTCCCGGAATGAAGCGCGGCACGGGAGACAGTCAACGGGCTTCTTCCCGGAAGGACGAAGACAACTTCCCAGGCCCAGCAGCTTAGCATAGCGTCTGACTGCTGCTCTCCAGTAGTTCTGGAGAGACCCGAGTCCAGTGGAGAAACATTCACATCTCGTTTGATCTCGTTGGATCAATTCTCAGAGGTCGATTTTAGCAGCCACGGATTTAGCAGCCCTTGCCCGGCTCCCGAGTGGCGGTGAGCTTGGCCTGGGCCTCTTGCTCTCGTGCGCTCCAGCGGAGGGTCGACGGATCGCCTCCTCGCCGTCGCTCGGGCGCCCCCTCCCCGTGCCTCTTGGTCTGCTCCGTGCGCGCACTCTTGTCCGCAAGATGCTATTCGGCGGTCCTCGCCTAGAATTTGGACGCCCGAAATGGGTACGGAAAGAATGGGTACAATGCCCAACAACAAATGTTGTCCCAAACCAACAGCGGCCGCTGTTAGGCAGGCGGCCCTCTGTCTCGAATGGACGCAGGCCGCGGCGGCGTGGACAGCGAGTCCTGTTCAAAATGAGCAGGATCCGCTGTTGGGCATTGCACCCATTCTTTCCGTGCCCATTTCTGGCGTCCAGATAGAAAGAACGCACACGTCCGAACGATGCCAAATCTCTCGAGGCTTGCTGCAAAGGAGGAGCCCGGCAAAGTACTCCATGGGCTTTCGGCCGCGAGAGCGGCCGGAACGTCTGAGAGCGCCACCGCGGAGACGTGTTTACCGGCGTGCGAGAGGGCCGCCGCGCCCTAACAGCCTCCCCCGTGCGAGTCCATAGTTGCACGGCCCACCTCTGCAGCTGATGCAATCGAAACGCTGTCAAAGGAACCCCGAATAAGGAACGAGGTCCTGCTCCATAAATCAAACCTCGACTTCCCATCGAAAACCTCGGAACACCTGGAACAAATATTATAAAATGCACCAAAAACACCGATCCCCTCCTTAACGAAAAGGGTTCTTTCTTCAGCGGCCCGACGGTAGTTAAGGGGCCCACTTCTGCAGCCGATGCCATCCGAAGTTCACCCTCTGATGCAAGCTATTCGCATGCCCCTCCCTGACCACCAAAAACGCTGGCGAAAAGGCCAAACCATATGCAGTTGTGACTACCGTCGTTGCGGGCATCGCAATGCGGCGGGGGGAGGGGGGAGGGGGGGGGGGGGCAAACCGGCCATGAAGCATGCGAAGGGTGTGCCGACATGTGGCGGGGCCGCCGTGTGGGCGGTGCCACTGGGGCTCCACGTGGAAACAGCTTTGGGGCAGCGCAACGTGCGAGGGGCGCCTTCCCTGACACCCCCCCGTGCCCCGACGCAGGCCTCCCGGCACCTCCCCCGCCCCCGCCGGCCCCGAGGGGGCGCCGCCCGGGTCCCGCCCCGACGCGCGCCGCCCCATTCGTGTCCGCACGGACCAGGGCGGACGGAACCGAGAACAGCAGGGAGCCGGGAAAAGAGGTTGTGTTCCAGCTGGCCATCGCTCGGACGTCCATTTCCCGTGCATTATTCGGTGTCGTGCGTGTTTTTCTTGTTTGCTCGATGGTCCAGGATGGTCCTCGATGGTCCTCGCCGAGAAAGAAATGCACACGTCCGGGCGATGCCAGGCCAGTAGGTGCTCAAGGCTGTATAACCTGAGCCGAGCACCTGGCACGGTGAAGGCCATCCTCAGCGAAGGCGACGACGTCTCAGAGGCAGCGTGGAAGAGACCATTGAAGGCACCAAGGTTGGCCAGCGCGGGCCCCAAACATCAAGATGTGCTCGGCGGACGTGCGCGCGACGCGGTGCAGGCAGCGTGGTGTAAGATATGTGGAACAAATTCTGCGGTGAAGTCACATGGTGCAAGCTACATGGTGCCTGCGCGATGCAAGTTATTTGGCGGGAGCCATCTGGCGCAACGTGCGCGGCGCGCTCCGCTCGCGCAAGATATGTGGCGCTAGCTATGTGGCCCAACTACGTGGCAAAAGCTGGGCGGGGCAAGCCACGTGGCGCAAAAACTGTGGTGTTATCCTCACGGTTCAAGCTGCGTGGCGCAAACTGCGTGGTGGTTTCTGTGTGGCGCAAGATGTTCTGGTTTTACACTGACCACATGCTCGCGTACACTGCTCACGGACAGACGGAACCAGGCCCCCGCGGAAGCCCAGCTGCAGCTTCGGCTACCTTCCAACACCACCTTGGGTGCCAGGCACGCGCAGGGTTCAGATTATAGTCGCAACAGCATCTGCCATTCAGAAATAGACACGCACATAAATCAAGATGCGCTTCAATCTTTGCACAAACCAACGGACAACAAGCTGCTGGAAACGTGCGACTCACAACCCACCCAGCTGAAAATATCACCAGCCCCGCAGAGCCAAGGATCATGCAGCAGGTGCTCTGGGATACTGCCACCCTGAAGCCAAACGGTCTCCGCCGCGAAACGCTCAAGCAACACCAGGAGTAGCACGTCAGCGTCGCCGTGCTCCTCCATGTCGCGCGCGACGGCGGCCATGGATTGACGGAGGGCCTCCACCCCGCCGCTGCCGCGGCGAAGCTCCCTCCTCTCGTTCCGCACCCTTGCACGCTCCTGGTCCAGGAGATCCAGGTCCGCGCCAACCTGCTCCGCGAGGGCGTTGCGCCTCGGCCGACGGCGTCGCTTGCCGCCAGTTCCCAGCTTGCCCGCGGCCTCGGCCACGTGCATCTCGTCCCCCTCCTGCTTCCCGACGTCGCCCCCGTCGCCGTCCAGGGCGCCCTCGACCTTCTCGGTCTCGTCCCCCTTCTCGCAGTCCAGCACAGGCTCGCCCATGCCGTCGTCCTCCTGCATCTCGTCGGGCACGCCGCGCGCGCCGACGTCCCCATCGAGCCTGGTCCCGTCGATCCCCGTCGGCTCGGCGACCTCGCGCCCCTGCGGCCGCAGCGTCGCACAGCCAGGCACGAGCACCACGGCGCCCTCCAAGGACCATCTGCCACCTCTCTGCTTCCGCCCGCGCCATGGCCTCTGCAAGCAGCGCGTCGTCGTCGTTGCGGCCCTCAGCGGAGCCATCGCCTCGCGGTGCTGCCGCCACCGCACGCGCCTCGGCCGTCACAGGAGCGTCACCCTCGGGCTCGTCCTCGTCGCAGCCGTCGTCGTCGCCCGTGGCGCCACGGCAGGGGCCTGCCCGGGCGCCCGCAGCTGCAGCAGGTCCAAGAACGCCCTGGCAGCCGCAGACAGCGCTCCCGAGGGGCGCCTCAGCCACTGGCAGCGTTCACTGGTGCAGGATCACACCCAGCACCGCCGGCTGTGCCGCCCAGCAAGCTGTCCCGCAGCTGCACCATTGTCCCCCGGCGGGCAGCGCCTCACCGCCGGCGAGGAGGGACATCGGCGGCGTGGTGGTGGGACGCACGCATGGGCGCGGGCGCCGTGCTCGTCCTCTGGAGCCTCTGATTGGGAGGCCTGCTGAAAGAAAAAGAGGGGGGGCACGAGCGGGCCTCGAAGTGCGAGGCGAAGGGGAGGCCGGTGCCTCTCCATAATGCTCGGCGCTGCGCCACCGCCTCCGCACGCGCCTCCCTGCGGAGGCGCGCCTCGATGCGATGCGCAGACATGCGCTCGATCTGCGCTGCCGTGTGGGGGGGGGGCGGGGGGGGCAGGGGAGGCGGCGAGGGAGGAGGGGAGGACCCCCGCGCCCGCGCACCCGCCCCGCCTTGAGCAAAAATGCTTGCGGCCCACAGTGTAGACCTTGAGGCCGTTGCTGCGGCGGCGGTGCTGGCGCGCGCGCGAGCGCTCACGCGCAGAGGGGACAGCTGGTCTGGCACAGCGGATGCGGCCGCGATGGCGGTTGCTGGTGGGAACTTCCCAGCGCGTCTCCAAGGCCGCGCTGGCGCGCGGGCAATTCAGCGCGGGTCGGTGACTTGGGGGCGCGCGATACCATGATGACATCGACAACGGCGGCACCGATAATGATGCCAGTGATGGTGGTGGCGATGATGACGGGGACATTTGCAATGCCAATGACGGCGCCGATGCTGACCATGACGTTGTCCATGTGTTGGTAATGAAAGCAAGTGTGATGATGGCGGCAATGGCGGCGATAAGCGATGGCGATAGCAGCGGTGATGCAATGGCACTGATGAGGGTGATGAGGAAGTGCCCACGCGCCGAAATTTAAGAACCCCGCAAACGTGAAAACGTATGTTGTTGGTTTCTTGTATCTGTTTGAAAGGCTCTATCTCGAAATGCCTCGCAACACCGCGGTTTAAGAAGGATTACGGCAGCGCGGCAGCGGTAGTATGTGATACGACTGTGTGCGCTGGGCGCATGCTAGATCAACGCGGAGGCACCGCGTGGTGAGATGAGACTGCTGGCTTCTGGACGAGCTCTTTCAAGCTGCACTCGGGCAGAAGCATCTGCAATATTGCGCGTGGAAACCCAATTGGCGTGCACGGTGTTATGCTGAAACACTTGCATCACTAATGCGTGTTGAATGATTGCGCCATGTCTGGGATAGTATGATTGCATACGGAGCATGAGCGGTGAGATAGAATCATCTGCAAATGCCAGAGTGGAATGGCGAAGGGATTAATCTGGGCGCGGGGGGGGTATAAGCCTGATTCCCAATTCGAGAAGAACACCTGCGTGGTGCAAGCCATTGTGTGTAAGTAAGCCGTGTGGCGGAATCTATGTTCTGCCAACTATTTTCGGGGAGACGTAAGACTCGGGTACGGGGGACTCGGGTTGGCCTGACGGGGTCAAATCTGAAACTTGACGCGAGCTCCCGCTGCAAACGTCCCACGAAAACCGGACCGTCAAAATCCAGGACGGGCTCGTCAAAAAAACGTCGGCAAACCCGAGCCCCGGCTTTCTCGAGTCTTACGCTTCCCCGTTGTGTGGTGTAAGCTACGTGGTGCCGCCTGCGTGGTGCAGACTACCGGGGCACCCACGAGACGCCGACGGGCTTAATTGGAGAAGACACGCGAGAGGAGACAAAACCCATTCGAGGGCCACATCGCCACAGGAATGTACGCAGCATGGCATGGGTCGCGAGACACAGGACGCAAAGGGACCCTTGATCTGAACTTGATCTGGCAGGGTCGACCTACTAATCCGGGCCGCCTGTACCGGGGCGCCCACGAGACGCCCACGGCCGGGCACCGGCCAAAGAACCTCCCCACCGATCGCCAAAAGAATCCGCCTCCGTGCGCCTGGCACGACGTGGAGTGCCCCAGCAGGGGAACGAGGAGTGACATGAACAGAAAAACTCGCAGGTCCGCGCGGATTCCTCGGATCCCCCTGGCGGCGCCTCTGGCGCCGCCCCTGGCGCGCTCCGCGCGCCAGGAAAGGGGGTCCAGCGCCGAGCCGAGAAATGCGCGCGGACCTCCGAGTTGATCTGTTTATGTCATTCCTCGTTCCCCTACCCAAGGCACATGCAGCACTGAGAGGTGACGCTGTGCTGTTTCTGCAGCGAGAGTCGCAAGCCTTTCATGGTTCATCGGGCTGGCTCCCGTAAGTTCTGAGGTGTTTCCTGCGCCTCCTTTGGACGCTGCGCCCTGCGCCCCCTGAAAGCGACCTCCGAACCCTCCCATGAGTTCAAAAGGGTTCCGAGTCGCCGAACGACCACTCCAAGACGCCCAAGATGGCCTCAAGATGGCCCAAAAGGCATCCAAGACGCCACAAAAGGTCAACAAAAGGACTCCAGAGAGGGCTTCAAGAGGCGCAAATCACTGATGTTCCTAAGGTTTGTTCCCCACTTAGGCTTGCCTCAGGGTTTCTTACTTGGTTAAAGGTTGGTGCCTCGTATTCTTACGTTGCCCGTTGTCCGCAGGTTCCGTTCCTCGGGTTCCTCGGGTTCCCCGCCCCCGATGCCTCCTATTCTTACGTTGCCCGTTTCTCAGAGGTTCCTTGGATTCCCTGGGCTCCTCGGCTTCCCCGCCCCTGGTGCCTACTACTGTTACGTTGCACGTTCCTCGGAAGTTCCTCGGGTTCCCAGGGCTCCTCGGTTTCCCTGGGTTCCTCGGGTTCACCGCCTCCGGCTGCCCCAAGCCATGCCAAGAAAATGCCAAGCAATGCCAAGCAATGCCAAGCCATGCCGAGCCATGCCAAGCCATGCCGAGCCATGCCAAGCAATGCTGAGCAATGCCAAGCAATGCCAAGCAATGCCAAGCAATGCCAAGCAATGCCAAGCAATGCCAGGCAATGCCAGGCAATGCCAGGCAATGCCAAGCGATGCGCCCAGCGATGCGCCCATGCAACAGGCTTTCCCCCAATTGGGGAGCGGGGTTCATGAAGGATTTTGGCGTTCTCGCCGTTTCGGCTCTCCGACGCTCGAAGACTGCCCAAGAGGCTCCCAAGAACATCCCAAGAGGCCTCCAAGAGGACCCCAAGACGGCCCAAAAGGGGCCCAAGAGAGGGAACACGAACCGAAAATCTGAGCCTTCCGCCCCAAGAGCCCCCCAGGAGGACCCAGGAGGCGCCCAAGAGGCGACCCAGAGACCCCCAAGAGGCCCCGAGAGATCCAAAAGAGGACCCAAGAGGCATCAAAACGGTGCCCAGGAGGCATCGAAACTGTCTCCAAGAGGCCCCTCGAGGGACCCTCCACGAGATCCCAACAAACATCCAATAGGCTTTATACCCACATCCCAGACACGGTGTCGGGATGGGCCAAAGGACATTCGATCGAATGGTGGTGTAAGCTATGTAGTGTAGGCTGTGGAGTGAGATACGTGGCGCAGCGTATGTGGCACAACCCACGTGGTGCAAGCTGCGTGGTGCAATATATGTGGTGAGAGATCTGTGGTGCGAGCTATGCGATGCAATCCGCGTGGTGCAAGATACGAGAAGTAAAGTACGTGGTGCAATTAATCCAATCAAAGACCCCAGCCTCCCACTCGCAACTGGGTTGCAAACCCTATTCGGCCACGAATGCAGCTGCTTGACCCCGCGCTGGCGCTCTCGCGCGCGGGCACAGCGACCAATTGATTTGGCACAACTGATGCGGCCGCGCTGGCGCTTGCCGATGGGAATTCCCCGGCACGTCTCAACAGGCCGCGCTGGCGCGCGGGCATTCCAGTGCGGGTCGGTGACTCGGCGGACGCGATGACATGATGACGCCGATAACGGCGGCAACGATGATGATACTAGCGATGATCGTGGCGATGATGACGATGACGGTGCAGGGCCAATGACGGCGCCGATGCTGGCGACGACAAGGACGATGATGATGGTGTCCGTGTGCCGGTGATGGAATGTATTGTGCTGGTGATGGCGGCAATGGCGGCGATTGACGATGACGATGACTGTGCTGATCTGGCACGGATGAGGGTGATGAGGAAGTGCGCGCACGCAGACATTCAATACATCTGGTTGACTAGTTGCCGAGAAAAACACTTGCTTGCATATGCCTTTCGAAAGCCCTATCTTGGCATGCCTTGGAAACCTACGGTGGCGGAAGAGATTCGATGCGCGCGCGTGGCGGCGGGCGCACGTGGCCCGCATGGAATGCACGTGATACGCATTCGCTCACTGGGCGCGTGCTAGATCGACATGAGTGCACCGTGTGGTGAGATGAGAATGCGGGCGATGGACAGATCAGAAGGTTTCGTATAGTTTCAGCCAGTGCGCGGGCGGGCAGGTGTCCTGCACTCTGTGGGATGAAGACTAACGGGCTGGAACGCTTGCAAAACAGATGTGTTTGGTAGGACTTCGACATGTGCGAGCGCGTAGCGATGCTGTTGTGTTCGGTGCAGGGGGTTATAGCAACATGATGTGCTGAGAGAAGCACATGCGCAACAACCAATTTATTTGACAGGGATGAAGGGGGGGCGATACAGTCTGGGCTGGGATGCTGGGATGGTCTAACATGCACATGGAAACTGAGCGCAGCGGCAAACCCGCGTGCAGATTGCAGCACCCGAGGGGGCCCGGCTCGCTCCGAGGGGGAGACCACGTGGTGGCCGCAGTGCTCGCGCGGTGCCCACGGGGCCACCGCGGGCGGGCACCTCGAGTTGCTTGCCCCGACCAGGGGGAAGGGGAGGAGCGCGCGGAGAAAAAGGCAGGGGAGGGACGAGAGGACGGGGAAGGGGTAGGGAGGGGGTGATGACGAGCAGGAAGCGGAGGAGGAGGGCGAGATCTCCGCACGCCTCCCCCCCCCTCCGCGCGGGGCGCCCGCGCGGCGCCCGCGAGCGGGCACCCGGGGCGGAGCCGCGGCGTGGCCCCCCCCCCCCCCCAAGCGCGGGGCACCACCCGCGCGGCGCCCACGGGCGCCGACCGGCCGGGCCCGAGCCCACGCCCCGCCAGGCCCAGTCCGCTCCCCGAGTGGACGAAGCAGTACACCCTGCGAGATGCTTCAGAAATCATGGGTTGAGAAATTCATAGCCTCAGAACTT